TCTTTGGGGAGCCTGCTTCTCCCTCTCCCTCTGTTGCTCCCCCTGCTTGTGTGCTCTCTCTCTCTCTCTGTCAAATAAATAAATAAAATATTAAAAAAAAAAAGAAAGAAAGAAAAGGTGACATTTGGCCTGGGAATTGAAGGATGGTTAGGAGTTCACCACAGTTAGTTGGAGACCTGGGGATAAGAAAGGGGGTGGGGGTGATTGGGGCTGAGCAGAGGAACAGCATAAGCTGAAGCACTGAGATAGTGAATATAGGGTCTGTGTTTTCCAAAGGCTGAGGTGAGGCCAGAAAAGCTGGCTGGGGTGAGGGTGTAGAGACCTTGTTTTGCCCCACTAAGGAACTTACAATTCATTCTTTAAGAGAAAAGAAGAACATACCTTTTGTTTGTTTGTTTGTTTTTTAACATTTTATTTATTTATTTGAGAGAGAGAGTGAGAGAGAGAAAGCACGATAGGGGAGAGGGTCAGAGGGAGAAGCCGACTCCCCGCTGAGCAGGGAGCCCAACGCGGGACTGGATCCTGGGCCTCCATCCCGGGACTCCAGGATCATGACCTGAGCCGAAGGCAGAGGCTTAACAAACTGAGCCACTCAGGGCCCCACTTTTTTTGTTTTTTTTTTGAAGAGTGCTCTGGTGAGAAAGTAAGAGAATGGAATATACCAGGGAGGAAACTGTAAGGAAATAGGGAGGCTAGTAATGAGGGGAGAAAATTCGTAACATACCTGCTCATGTCCAGTGTTATGATCTCTAAGTTTAGTAAATATGGTGGGTTGGTCATTCAGTGAACTGACTTTTGATAACTTGAGTTTCAGTGAATTGGCACACTTCCAATAGAGATGAAGAAGGTGAAACAAAAAGAAAATACAGAGAAAGAAGAAATGAGCTGAATTTGAGGGTTTTTATTAGATTGATGGAAATTTCCAACTGACTATTGGAAACACAAGTGTGGAGTTTGGGAGACTGGTTTAAGAGTGGAAAGTTAGGACGAGAGTCCCCTGCTTTGGGTTTCTTGCTTTGTGCTCCCAGTGAGCCCATGAGTTATAGATTTTCCCTTTGGGTGAACTTTGAGCACAGTGTAGTCATTGTGATGTTAATTCAATCAGTGCCAATCCAGAATTTTCCTCACCTAATCCTACCTGTCCTGATCTGCACCCTTTGAGAGTGCAAAACCACGTAATTACCATCATTCAAGGCAATGTTGATGGTTAGATCAAGCAAAAAAAAAAATTTAATTCATAGCCGTTCTTAAGATTTCACAAGACCATATCTCTGCAACACCATCTTTTTAAAATAATTTTGGAGGCATAACAACTGAAAATCATTTTAAAAGCTGTTTGTGGAAGACATATAAACACATTCAATATAATTTTGAACGGCAGAACTAAGACCAAAGAGAAAAACTGGCAAGGGCAAGATTTTGCCCAATGATAGAATAGTCTAACAAAGTAGCCAACACAGGCTCCCTTGCCAAGCTGAGAGCTCCCCATTTTTATGTTATTCAAGTGAGGCTGCCAGAGATCTGAGGATAGGGGCCTGGAGGGAGGGGAAGTCTTGCAATGAGTGGATCGTTAAACTAGATGGCATCACCATCTAGTTTTAGGATTCTAAAATTTTCATTTAGAGGATTTGACAAACGCGTGATCAATTTGCATGTTAAGTAAATAGGTTATTTTTTTACAGCTGGCTTTGGCTCCTGTTTAACCACCACAACAAAAATAGCCTCACCCTGTGCTTTTGTGTGTATCTCTACTAAACAGTTCACCATGAGTCAGATTCTGTGCCCCATCTCTACTCTCATGTCATCAGTGCGTTTGCAAACAATGCATGGGTCTTTGGGGCTAATTATCTGCTGTCAGTCAGCTACTTCCTGTATGAGGAGTAAACACTATATATAAGGAAGGGCTATCATTATAAATAAATGCCATGTCCCCCCCCAAGTATTATATTAATATATGAATGTTGCTTCTCCTGGAATTAAAATGTTATATCTAGATCTGAATGGAACCCTTGAAAAGGAAATTTTGGAAGCTGTTTTCATGTTAATTACAGAAACTATAATGGAAAATTTTTTTAAGCGATTCAGGAGGAAGACAGTAAAGAACTTGGTTTTCCATTGAGACAAAAGACTTAGGCTATAAACATTTCATCTCTAACTTGATGACAGACACTAAGGGCAGATCCTTTTCTGTTCATATCAGCCCAACGCCGACTGCATGGATGACTTGCCCACCGACTTCGAGGGATCTCTGGGAGGCCCACCCACCAACCAGATCACAGGCGCGAGCGACACGACTGTAAATGAAAGTTCAGTCACTCTGGACCCTGCTGTCCGGACGGTGGGAGCCTTGCAGGTGGTCCTGGATACAGACCCCACCCCGCAGGAAGGAGAAGTCATCTTTACTACTAACAGTAAGTTCTGCTCTGCTTAGAAGCGCCATAGTCCACAGGATTGTCGCCACATAGGAATTAGAAAAAGACACTTTTCCTCAAGAAGAAAACAAGTGAATTGAGTATATAACATTGCCAGTTGTACCCAGCAAGGCCTTTAGAAGCCCAGCGCTTTCCAAAGCCAGCAGGGTAGACAGCAGACCTGGCTGTGCATCTTGCCTGCCCGCACACGACAGCATGTCATACCCCGTGGTACCTGAAGTGGGTAGGGCGCTGGCTCTGGTGTGGTGAAGAGCGAGTGAGAAAAGCAACTGCAGGGGATGCTTAGCAGGACTGGGCTAGGGCACAACCCTGCTCACTCTGTGTGAGTGTGTGTGTGTGTGTGTGTGTGTGTTTGAGAGAGAGCGTGCCCATGTCTGTCCAAGCTGGCCTGGGCTGCGTGCAGGACGGTGCTCTCTCCTGTTGCTGCAGGCCTCAGATATAAATGGTATTCCTTTAGGTGGGTGTTTTCACAGTCCAACGTATACCCCTGTAAACGGCGGCATATTAAACTATCTTCTGGATTTCTTCCCCATCCTCTGCATATACTCTAACCCCAGCTCTAGTTGATGGTAGTTATAAAAATATTAAATAGCTGTGTTAGCATTCAAGATTGAAGCTAAAACCTAAAGCATTTGCTCTTTAGTCTTATACAGGAGTGAGAAAAGCTTTGGGAGTTCTAAGAAAACCAGCATGCAAATGAACTTTGGTTTAAGGTTTAAAGGGTGGGTGGATATTGAGATGTTAAAATAAGGTGTATTATTTCTCTTGATAGAAGTAACCTATTCACACAGAAAATTTGGAAATGGAGAAAAGCAGATTAAAGCCTTTGGGGCTATTTCTTTTTAAATTGGTCTCTTTTTTATATATTTGCGATATTTGTAGAATTTATAAAAATTATTCAGGCTGAAATGTAAAGATATGCTTTTTTCTGATGAAGAAACTAATAGACCTTACTGTTGAAAGATTGAAACATGAAGAATAAAAAAGAATGCAAAAATCACTCAGTACCCCACCTGGAAATTATCACTTTTAACATTTTGGTATATTTCCTGATAATCTCTTATGGGATAATTGAGACATTATCATAGGCATTGAATGTGGAATATTATAACTGTAGAACTGCCATAGATCCTCAACAGAAAGTAACTTCAAGGGGCACCTGGGTGGCTCAGTCGTTAAGTGTCTGCCTTCGGCTCAGGTCACGTTCCCAGGGTCCTGGGATCGAGCCCCGCATCGGGCTCCCTGCTCAGCAGGAAGCCTGCTTCTCCCTCTCCCACTCCCCCTGCTTGTGTTCCCTCTCTCGCTGTGTGTGTCTCTCTCTCTGCCAAATAAATAAAATCTTTAAAAAAAAAAAAGTAACTTCAAGAGGAACTTGGTGGCAAATATCTGCCCCCACACCGTTTATTAGTTTTGGGTGGGTAAGAATTTTGACTTTGAAAACTTGACTTTTAGAGGCATTAATGACCTCAACATTGAAACAGTGACCTTTAAACACTCCAAGTCCTTAAAGATGAATTCTGATCCCTTTGTTTTGAAGGCCTAGGGTGGTGCTGTCCAGTATTAATATACTGTAAGTCACATATGTCATTTGAAATTTTCTGTAGTCACAGTAAAAAACATAGGTTAAGTTCATTTTAATGATCGATTTTATTTAACCCAATATACTCAAAATATTTTGCATTCTTTCTTTTGTATTAACGCCTCAAAATCTGGTGTGTGTTTTACATTTACAGCACATGTCAGTTTGAACTAGCCGCACTGCAGGGGCTGAGGAGCTGCATGTGGCTAGTGGCCCCCATACCAAAGAGCATAGACCTAGAATCCTAGTCATTTTGGGGATAGAAGAACCTTAAAAGTAATTTCATCTATACCCTGATAAACTTCTAATTTTTGGCATGAGACAGTCGTGGCCCAGAAAAGTGGCTGATGCAGATCAGACGATAAGTCCCCTTTTCAGAGTCCAAGGCTGTCCCGTAATTTTTCCATTTATTGACATCTTTGCTTCCCATCGGACATTTCACTGCTCATTGTCTCAGTGAAGTATATTGGGAGGCCTGATAAACTTCTGTTCGAAAACACTGAAGGCATAGCTTTTCTCAAGCCCGTAAGAAGAACCCAGTCAAAAATGGATCATTTTCCTTGTCATAAAATATTATTTCATTTTCAAGAGAAAATATGTCCCCTGTGAGAGTCCATATTCTTGAAAGTGGATACGTACTTCACACATCTCCATAAAGGCCAGATGCCAAATGGAAAGGCATCACTTGTGGGCTAAAATACATCCAAAAATGAAATATGGGATCATGGTCTGCACCCATATACTTCGTAATCTCAAAACTGTTTTTGCCTAAAATAGGGTATTTAGGCCATGGCAGGCATTCAGTAGATGTGTCCAATCTAATCTTGAAGCAGGGTGCTCCTGATCAACAGAAGGAAAAATGCCAGGTCATTATAGAGGAAGATAGTGGGAAATTTGAGGAAATAAGAGAGGTCTGAGGCCACCTCTGTAATCGGAAGATGGGGATGGTATACAGGAATATGGCTAGAGAGATCAGTCTCTTAGTACAGAAACTGAGTTTATTCTTAAACTGTTGTTCCTAGCCCATTTATTTCTGATTAGTTTTATTTATTGGGATCTAACAGAATATTCCAAACCCAGTCATTCTGATTAGGTATTAATTGTTTATATCCCTAACCAAATGGCTATAGATTCCTTAAGGAGAAAATCCTTTGCTGTATGCAGGTTTGTAAATTGCCTAGTGCCCTAACTCAAATAACTAATCCACAAATGAACAAACACAGATGTGTGAATAAATGGGTGAAAAGATTCAAATTCTCATCAATGCCGTTAGAACCAGCTCAAATGCTGTCTAAAAATAACGTGGATGGAAAATTAAGTGTAGCTGGCATACAATATTGCTGCGAATCACAAACATATAACCCAGTAGAGGTTGGACCTAACTTTTCTTCATTATCCTTTCCCACCTCACATCTCTAGAGACCCAGGGAATTACTAGATAATGAGGAAATAGCCATAGCTATCAAATACATCACACCACTTGAGCACCGGCCCCCTTTTTAAGCCCTATGAGGGAAATATTATTTTTATTGTCATTTTACTGATGCAGAAATGGAGACACAGAGAGATTAAAGTAACTAGCTTCAGAGCCCCACGCTTAGCTACGCTATGCTCCGAGGATGAACAAGGGGAGAAAATAAACACAGTAGCTTGCTCCCTTCTTTCATTTATTTATTCCTTTTCCCCATTTTTTCTAAATCTCAGAAAGATAAAAAATGTGTGTCGTCCCTCCTTGCATGCTCATCCCTACCTCTGCTCCTCCTGTCTGGCAAATGCTGTTGGTGTGTGGTCGATCAGATGCATGTAGAAGTCATTTCAGCACTCAAGGGGGGAGTGTAGAACAGATTGCCTTTAGCGTGAAGATGGAAAAATCTGGCATTAAAGGATCATCTCCAGTTCTCGGGAAAGGGAAAAAAAGAAAAGCGTTTATACAGCAAAGGAAATCCAAACTTGTTGCAAGTCTGACATTTGGGAGGAAGACGTGCTCATATGCATTATCTTGACTGTTTCTGATATTCTGCCTTTGACAACCTCACATGGCAGTCCCAAATCACACACTGTTTCTCCTGCACCTTGGTGCAAGGGGTCGTGTGCCTGAACGCGCAGACGTCCCTCACCAATCTTTGCCTGCGGCCATGCCTAATTGCACCCCAAACAGACATTGCCTTCTGACTCCCCAGGCCCAGGCTGCAAGTTTTTGGATTTGCTTCATCCAGGAAAAAAGTGCCGGAGGATCAAAGAAAAACACAGCTAAACAAACAGTTCTGTGTGTTGGCAGACTCCAGACAGGAGCTAGAAAAAGACACAAAAGGAGAAGACTCTATTACTCCTCTGCGGAAACATTCAGTGCCACTCCACATCCACTCAGGAGGGTCTGAAACCTTCCCTTTGTTTTTCGAGGAAGCTGCCCATTTACTTTATGAAGTCACTGCACTACACAGCTCTCTGGCACTGTCTCTCAGTTATACCCACTTGCAACTCCTTCTACCTCCGACTAGAAAAAGCCAGCATTCAGCCCACGGGGTGGAGAGCGGAGGGTGGGAGGGGTGGAGGGAGCCAGGAGCTAGAAAGAGACATGGAAATGGGTCAAATCAAGACACCTCCAAGCTGCCCCTGTACCTTCTTGAGCACATGCCAGAATGTGTGTGGCTGGGAGACCTGGTCTTCAGATTTCACCGAAGTTAAGCGGTACGCATGAATTATTATATACTCGGCCATTTGATATGAAATGTGGTATGGGATTCCTCTGGGAGACTTCCTTCGCTAACTATCAACTTTCATCCTTGGGGGAAGCATAGTGCATCCAGTGTATTCAGCAAATATGATGTGTGATGTGTTTAAAATGCACCTTTATTTTTGCCTCAGTGCCACATTGAATGTACTGAGTGGGTATAATATTCTCCTCCCCTGGGTGAAAATTCCAGCAGGCCTAGGAATTTTCTGCTCACTCCTAGGTAACTGACTGTTCTGGAAGTCCCTTCAGGTCCCAAACAGATTTTTTGCAGGGCCCTTTTCCTTGTAATTCCCATGCCTCAAGACAGGTGGATCTCTCGCTTACTTGTAGGGCCCCCTGCCGCCCCAGTGCATGCACACAGTCCATTCCCAGCTGCTGTCTGCTAAAGTGCCCTTACCCTCTAGGCCCTTTTGGATAGGGCTCAAGCTGAGCCCAGGCCAGCTCTGGACCCCCACACATCACCTGCCCTGACACTCCCCTACCGACCAGCAGCTGTGTCTGACCTCTGACCTCACAGAGGCCATCTGCCTCCTCTCTCTACGCTCCGGGCAGGAAAGAGACCTGCGTCCACAGTCTGCTCTAGCCTTTCAAAGGCTGAAGTCAGTTCTCTCTGAGTCCCACCTACAAGAACATAGTTCAGAATCCCCTCCAGGGTGCCCTGATAGT